GCCCCGGCATCGCCCCGCGCGCCCCGGCCCCGCGCGCTGCTACTTTGGACCGGGAGGAGGGACCTGCGGGCACTGGGAGGGAGCCAGGGCCTGTGTCCCCGTCGCAGGGGCGGACGGGGCCTCCACGGTCTGGCGCTCGCGTCCCCCGGAGCAGGAGGCCAGGCAGGGCTCACGGCTGTGCAAGGGGCCTCGTTTTCTGCCTTTTACCACAGGGAAAAGGGGGGTTATTGTGAGTTTAATTGAGGCAGTGAGCTGGGGAGGACAGGGGAAGACACCCCCCGGACTGGGAATTCGCACAGGGCCGCTCCGTGAGCACAACCCCTATTAGCCGCCAGAGAATCCAAGCCGGCGAGGCCTGTGGGAATGGGGCTGGCCAAGGCTGATCCTGCCCCTCAAGCGGAACGGGGCCAGAGTCCCGGCTCCTCCGCCCCTCGTCCCTCCGTCAATCATTAACGCGAGCGTCGACGGTGCCCAAGTTCATTCCTGGGCTGGATCCCATCTTCCCTTGGCTCCTTCCCTGCGGATGCGGCCCTTTCCAGCCTGACCTTCCCAGCTGACCTTCCCAGCATGGCCAAGCCCTCTCCGGATTTGCCAGCCTGCTGAAAAAGCGCTTGTGTGTAATGAGGAATTCAGAGCTGCACCCAAATTCCCAGAGTTTAACCCCAATCTGAGCATACGCTGTCCCACAGCCCCCTGTAACCAGTCCCTGCAGAGGGGCTGGGAAGCGGGGCCGGTGCCACCCCCGCACACGAACATCAATGGATATTTTGCCCGTTGCCCGCCTCGAATCCAAGAGCTCCATCCTGCCTCCCTGCTCCGTGCTGTCCTTGGGGATCCCCCCGCAGCGGGTGGCGGAGGCTGCGCGGGGGGCTGAGCAGGGAAGAGTTAAGCCAAGCTGCGCGCTCCGAGCGGGGACCAGCCCGGCTGCGGCCTCATTCCGGCTCCGAAGGCGCCGCCGCTGCAGGGCTGCTCGCTGCCGCCATGCAGGAGCCGCCGCTGCAGGGCTGCTCGCTGCAGCCATCAGGCTCCTTGTGGGGCTTCATCTGCCCACGGGCGCCCTTCCTCCTCCCAATCCTCTTCCTCCTCCTCTTCCTCCTCCTCCTCCTCTTCCTCCTGGGGAAGAAGTGCAGGGAGAGCTGCAGACATGGAGGTAACGGGGATGGAAGGGGGCTGCGCTGCTCCATTGTGTGCAGAGGAGGGAATGGGAAGAGGGATGGAGATATAGGGGGAGGGAGCCGAGGGGAACCCACTGGGGCTGCGGAGGAGACGGGGCAGGAAGGATGGAGAGGGGCGGCGGGAGCTGCCGGAGCGCAGGTATCCGCGTGGCGCTTTGCCAGGGTGGATGTGGATGTGGATGTGGATGGGGATGTGGATGTGGATGGGGATGGGGGGCACATTCCTATGGACGCCCCCGGGATGCGCGAGGCCGAGCGGGACAGATCCCCCCTCCCCGGGCAGCACCACGGAGAGCGCCGGCCCGGCCGCCCGGGGGGGGCGGGC